AGCCGCGCGCGTCGCCTCCCGGCCGGAGGAGGAGGTGGAGGCGGAGGAGGAGGCGCCGCCTTCCCGGTGTCGCGCGCCCTCGCCGTTGTCTGCGCTCCGCTCTGGACCAGTTTGGGGAAGTTGCCGTGTCCCGGTGTCGCCCAGATGTGCGATCTCATTGAGCCGCAGCCGGCCGAGAAGATCGGCAAGATGAAGAAGTTGCGGAGAACTTTGTCGGAGAGTTTCAGCCGCATTGGTGAGTGGCGCGCTGCCCGCGGCACCTGGCCCGGCGCCCCTGCGCCCGCTCCTTCGGCACCGCGCTCCTGGCACTCGCAGTGCCGCGGCCGCCCGGGGCTCGCGTGGGGTGCGCTAAGCTGCGCGCGGAGGGTGGAGGGACCATTGCCCAGACCTGGGGGAGGGTGACGACGGAAAGCAGAGACACCCCTTTCCTTCAGGATCTGGGGTTTCATTTGTGGATGATCTTAAGCCTACAATTTGGATTTCCCGTATTCGCCACTAGCGCTCGGGCTTTCGCGCCCGCGGGGTAAAGGAGAGGGGACGCCCCGGGCCCCGCCGCACACGGGGCCGTGCGACCGCGTGGGTCACTAGTTATTTTTTGTGCGCAGGCTTTGGTATTCGGTGTTTCGTCAGTAATTTAGCTTTAGAAATTGGCGAAACGTTGAGCTGTGCCTTAGTATTGTTTGACACATCCAACCTAAAGAGAAGTGGGACAGATACCTTGGGATCTTTTGTTTGGTACTTCGGGTCCTCGAAGGTGAGATTTGGGTGTTCAGTCCCGAGGTCTCTGAATTTTTCCATTGCTACAGAGAAATGCGCACTGTGAACTTGTCTGAACACTTAGGAATAAGTCTCCTGAACTTCTTACATTTGCTAGAGCTCTGGGGCTATTGTCTTTAAATCAACCAACCAACTGACCAACAAATAAAAAGCGACCGAGAAAGGTTTAGGACATTTAAGAATAAATCCATGTCACAGACTATAACGGGGTGACAACAGTATCCCGTGGAATGGGTTTGTTAGACTTCTAGGATTGGCCACAGAAAACCCCTCTTAACGTTAAGACGGTGACTTCCTCTAACACAACTTTCATCTATACAGGTAACTGCTTTCAGCAAGAAAATCATGCAAGCACTAAAAATAGCCAACCTCTGAGTTCCTGAGAAGCCTTCTAGCCTTTGTTTCACTTGTTTAACATGTCATCCACGTTAATGAAGGTGTTAATGGAAATTAAGCATAAGGTCCTTCATTCCTTACAATAAAACCCTGGGGTGCATATGATCTTTGTAGTCACCCTTCCATCCATTTATTTAAAAATCATTATGTAAGTGCATTAGAAAATATGCCAACTTTCTTAAAAAGAAAACATGGGTCAAAAATTTAGCCTAGGGTTTTTTTTTTTTTTTTTTTTTGTCTTTTAACTTAAAATTTTGTATTGGGATACAAAATCTTTTAGAAGATAACTGTAAAGTTATGGTGTGAAACCAATATTTAGTCCTGGTTTTATTTATTATATATATTAGATATTTGCAGTTTCCCTTTGACAGGTAAGAATGTGAAGAGTGTACGTTCAGTTGAAGTTGGAAGCCAAGGAGAGTGAGAGAGAGCAAGGTGTTGAGTGGGTGTTCATTATTAAGGAGGATGTTTCAGCTCCTGGTCCCAAACCATCACAGAGGCAGGTTCTGGAGTCCATTAAGCCCTGTTTTAAAACACATTAACTGTATATTTATTAATGCTAATGACTCAGTTGGAGCCCTTCCAGTTTTGTGTTAAATAATTCATTGCAATTTTATATCAGTAAGAAACCAAGGACATTAATAAAAATTCCTTATGTTTGAATAATTTTAAGGTTTTGATCCACAGTCAGTAAAATTTGGATTAACTACAATGCTGGCAAATGGGGTATTAGAGTTAATTGGATTTTCTAGCTTACTGAGATTTAGCGATATGAAACTCCTTTTGATTCCAACTCTTGTTAAAATGTCTTCTAAGATCTAGTAGATTTTAGTTCCTCCTTCTTGGAAACAGTACAGTGCAGTAAAAATAACTGATTATTTTTTGTATTGGTGGAGGGTCATGATTAGTAAATATCATTCTGGAATACTGTAAAATAAAATAGAGATTTTAAGTGATTATAATTGGATACCAAGCCCAACACAATTATGAGAATTTTTCTGCAGCATTACAGAAAAATGAATTCGTTATTTTTTACTTTCTTGCTATTTTATTTGCAAAATCAAAAAGCAATGAAATCAATCTAATTAAGGATTTTGAAGGTTCTAGAGACTGTTGAGGCTTTATTATGGGATTATATAGTGCATAGATTAAGGGCGTTATGGGCTGTGTGTCAGATTGGGGATTTCTGGTGTTGCCACTTGTAGCTGAGTGACCTTGGACAGGTCCCTCAATTTCCGAGCTGCAGTTTTTCATGTAAAACTCAGTTTTGTTATTGGCATTTAGTGAAATAATACATGTGATGTCCTGTGTGATATGTAATAAAGACTCAATAGATGTTCATGATATGTTATCATTATTTGTGATTGTGATTGTATCATACTGACATAATTGGTTTTTTAGATGAAAAGCAAGAAGTGTAACAGAGGAAGCGGCTACTGACTTTATAGTATAGCTGATCTGTAAACAGGACAGATTTTGGAGTTGGGCTGGTCTGGATTAGCACTGTTTTCTCTGCATGCTGTGTGTTTTGGGCAACTAGCAGAATTCCCCTAAACCCCAGAGTTGTCATTTGCAAATTTTCCTAAGGTTGTCGTAAAGATTAAATTGGATAAAACACATAAAGTATACAGTGCAATATCTCTCACATGGTAGAAATCATTACTCAAGGCAGTTATTATTCTTTCCAATTTCTTCCAAGTTTATCCGCCATCTTCCTCCTTTCTTCATTGGTACTTCATGAGGAGATCAAAGAATAAATTGTTTATTTCTGTTGAATAATCCAATATCTCAACATATTCATTCCTTTTAACCAATCTATGATGGCTTTTGAAATAAACATACTGAATTTATTTTGCTTTTTTAGTGTGATTCAAAAGTGTAGCTTGTTATGTGATAAAATATACAATATCATTGTCTAGCCATAAGAAAGTAGTAATCATCTACAGAAAATGAGGACAGTTTTTGAAAGTATGTGATATTCAATCAAAGTTTATTATTAATGATAATACTTCTGACTGTATAAAAGTGGCAGTGCTAATGTTTAATTTATCCATGCATGAAAGATCACGCCAACTTTATCATTGCCCACCTCAAATATAGCTGATCTGAGATTACCGTATTATAAAAGGTTTAATAAAACACATTGGCTTTCAAGCCATAGCACTCTAATTTACAACATCTGCCAGGGAGTGACTATTACACACCTATGGTTCTTTTATAAGATGGTTGAAATTGAATTTCAAAGTCATCCATTGATTTCAGTAGTATTTATGGTTTTCTGCTGAGTAGGATTTAGTGTTAGGGTGTTCATTTATTTAGGAATTACCATAGTTGTCTCACTTTTTTTTTTTTAAATTTAGGTTAGCATAAACAAAGATAAATGGGAACTTGTTAAAAATGTTTATATTAAAATTCATCTTTTTGTTTCTTTTTTTATTTTGAATGTAGACTAGAAGAAGGTTTTCTGTAACATCCAGTGTAAGATTAAGGTCAAACTGACATGTCTTCATATTTGTTTAAATGCATTTCTTCACATTTATTTGGATTATCTCCAAAAAGGAAGTTTATACTCTGTGATATTTGAGATGAAACCCACATATCATTTCTTTAAAAGAGTTTATGAGAGAACTGAATAAAAGGAAGAGGCTGTGGTTACACTGAATTTTTGAGTATGTTATCTTGTTCTGTAAGTGTGTAATTCTAGAGTCTAGTGTCATTTGATAAGTCAATTCTGTCAGAAAAGAGAAACGTAAGGTTAAAGGTTCATACACAAAATTTAACTTGTACCATAGCCTCCCAGTGTAGTTTCAGAAGGCTTTAATTTGAAAACTATGAAATGGAATTTAGATCTATGATACTTTCATTAGAGAATATATGTTTTTCATATGACAAAACCTTAGTGTGTCTCAAAATATAAGATGCTGTCCTTTTGCTATTGAAGTGTAACTCATTAATTCAACAAATAATTATTAAGTACTTCCTATGTTCTAGATACTGTGCTGGCATTCAGATCCAGTGACCATTGTTACCAGTCTTTGTCCTCAGAAACTTTAAGAGAAGACAGGCCAATGAATGGGCATTGACAATATGTATAAAGTGACAAAATCTACCATGCAAATTAGCATAATTTGCTATCAAAGAACATAGGAGGGACACCATTATAGTCTTGGTGAGATCGTGGAAAGCTTTCTAAAGGAAGCAATCAATGTCTGAGCAGAGGACTGAATAGAATATCTGATTATCTTAAATTGTTAACTCAGAAATGTGTAATATGCTTGTTATTTCATGATACCCTTGAACACAACTGTTGGTTTGCATTTTCATGAATGATTAATGACAATCAGGGAATGTAATCCATAATGAGTTGTGTGCTTGTTTAGGTCAGAGTTTATTCATCAGTGACCTGATAAATACTTGGCAACGACACCTTTAATTGGCCTTTGCTGTTACTATTAACTGCTGTTCAGGGCAAAGATTCAATATTTAAAGAAACTGTAAGATGTCAATCTAGCGATGAAGGGCTTCAATGAAGCAATAGACTTCTTGGTCTTAAAATGTCCCCCCTGTGGTATCCTAGGCTTGAGATTAGTGTGCAAGGGAGAGACTCTGGCTTCTTGCTCCTTATGTCTTAGAAAATACATCTACAATTCCCTCTTCTATTTCTTCCTTTTCTTTCTACCTCCAGACCCCACCCTGTTATCCAGAATGTTGGAGGAATTGGCAGAACTTAAGGGGCAAGAAGGAGATAGGTCTGGGTGTTGGAGACATTCTAATTTTCTGCTTTTTTCATCTTTCAACTTGAGAGTCTTCATTCCATATTTGCAATTCTTTAAGGAATAATATCAACTGTAATTTCTATTGGATGCTTTGCTTAAGAAGAACCATGGCTAAATTTTCAGAACCTTTATTGTGTCCAAAGTGAATATATTTAAAAGTGCGCACTGTGAATTATAAGCTTGCTGCTATTTGCATCTTGC